GACTCCCCACCCGACTGGTCATATTTGGTACTTGGTTCTCCGAGGTGAATAAATGTTGGTAGAAGAGGTTGGCAATATCAGCCTTACCTTTCTCATCCGTTACCCAGTTTCCTTCATCATCTCGGAGACCGGTCACAAAATTCCTTTTACGTCTAGTCCTGGTGACCGTATGGAAATATGAGGTGTTTTTATCACCTCTCTTAAGCTAGTGAACCCAGGATTTCTTTTGCCAGTATAGCTCTTCCGCCTCCCATTGTCGATGTTAGAATATGACTTGAATTTGATTTGAGTTTGTTTTATGTTTTGGGCCTATTTTGTTTGGGTTTGTGTTTGGACTTTGTTTTGGCCTTTTCCTTGTATGTTTGGGAAAAAGGTATTTGGTTTTCTGTTTGGGATTAGGAGAAGAGTTCTATAAATACTCTTCATCACCCTAGTCTGTAGTAAGGTCCGTCAGGTTAGTTTGTTTGGTTTGTCCGTTTGGAATTTGGTTTGTAACCTGTACTCTCCTCAAATTAGTGAAATTTGTCCCCCCTGCCCGTGGATTAGCTAGCACACATTGTGTTAGTGAACCACGTTAAATTTGTGTTCGTTCGTGTTGGTTTGGATTATCGATTGCACGCTTCTATTCTGACAAGTGGTATCAGAGCCTGGTTCTCGATCTAATTCAAGGGAATCGGCGTTGATAACTTTGTGGTGCCTGGTTGCGGTTATTGGTTGTTTGAAATAAATTGATTTGAAGTTGCAAGTCGTCTTACGAGGAGCATTCGCCTGCTGTCTGGAATTCGTTGGTGTTGCACTGCGTTTCTTTAATATTCCTTTCGGACGTTGCTAATTTGGAATTGGGGAATTGTTTGGGTGGTAGTTATCAATTATCACCCAACTGATAATTTGCTACAGAGGAATTTTCTGAACGTATAGAGAAGCAGCCATTAGTAGCAATTGAGAATTACTAGAATTTTGTTTCTTGTGATTGGATTTGTTCCCTTGGTGAAGCTTTGGGTTTCTTTTGCGCCTGTTGGAATACTTTGAAGATTGTAACAGTTTGAAATTGTGTGCTTTGGTTTGTTTTGGAATTATTTGGTTGGGGTTAGGGTTTTCGATTATCAAGGATGTTTGTTATGGATTTGAAGATTGAAAAATCAATTTGGAGTCGCAGGTTTGAAGTTAGAGTTATAAATGATGTTGGTGTTATGGACGAAAATAACACCAAGCTGGTTTTGCATGGCAAGTCCCAACATGAGTTGGACTTGCTGCATGTTTTGATTTGTTCACCTCCCTTAGGGGTATCTGGAGGTAGGAGAGATTCTGCTACAGCTGATTTGGAGGAGTTTGGTACGTCTGACAATTTTGATTGCATCTGAGTTTGGCGATTTGCATCGCGTTTGGTCTGGCGATATGAATCACATTTGGATATTTCTGGCAATCTTGATTGCGTTTGAATTTGGCGGTTTCGATCGCATTTGGATACGTCTGGCGATATGTATCGCGTCTGGGTACATCTGGCAACTTTGGTTGCGTTTGGTACATCTGGTATTTGAGAGAGAATTCAAGTCAAGGTGGAGATTGTTAGAATATGACTTGAATTTGATTTGAGTTTGTTTTATGTTTTGGACCTATTTTGTTTGGGTTTGTGTTTGGACTTTGTTTTGACATTTTCCTTGTATGTTTGGGAAAAAGGTATTTGGTTTTCTGTTTGGGATTAGGAGAAGAGTTCTATAAATACTCTTCATCACCCTAGTCTGTAGTAAGGTCTCAGTCATGTTAGTTTGTTTGGTTTGTCCGTTCGGAATTTGGTTTGTAACCTGTACTCTCCTCAAATTAGTGAAATTTGTCCCCCCTGCCCGTGGATTAGCTAGCACACATTGTGTTAGTGAACCACGTTAAATTTGTGTTCGTTCGTGTTGGTTTGGATTATCGATTGCACGCTTCTGTTCTGACAGTCGATTGAGCTCTACTTCCAGGTTCTTCACATCTTCCCAGTTAATAGGGCTATGAGATTTGACATGCTCGATTTCAGATTGGAGGGTTCTAATGTTCCGGAGGGAATTGGTAGTACCCGCCCTGCTCTAGTCATAGAGGAGATGTCGCAATTGCTTAAGTTTCTCCCAAAGCTGGTACATTGGGGTTCCAGATACTGAATTCTGCCAAACATACCTGACCATTGCCCTAACTTCTGGGTTATCAGCCCAGCGGGCATCAAACCGGAAAAATGGTCGAGTACTTCGAACATAAGGCATGTCTGCAATGAGCAGCGCCCTGTGGTCCGAGCCGAGATCAGTACAATGTTTGACAACGGTATCAGGGAAACGCTCCACCCAACTTTGAGAGCAGAGAGCTCTATCCAGTCGCTCGCGGATGCACGCAGTTCCCATGTGTTTATTTGTCCAAGTGAAGGCATCACCTTGGAAGCTAGGGTCATGTAGACCAGTATCATTAATAAAATCCCGGAGGCTAATCGATTGAGCCACATTCCACATATTACCCCCTTCCTTTTCATGAGCATGTAGGGTGGTATTGAGATCACCCACGAACACAAATGGGAGATGAACAGTTTCACATACCACGCGAAGATGGGCCAACTGGGAAGCCCTGATACCAGGATTACAACTGATATAAACACAAAAAGCAACGTAGGAAAAGTCACTTTCATTAACTTTTATTCCAATACAAAAATCTTAATGATAAAACACCGAAGCGCTAACTTCGTGGGACCAAGCGACAACGAGACCACCAGATGCGTCAATTGCATCCACAAAAAAAAACTATAAGAAGACTCAAAACCTAAACCCCATAAACGTCGAGAAACTACTCTCCGGCGAGCTCTTGTCTCCGAAAAGAAGACAAGGTCTGGTTTATTAGACCTCACTAGACCCAGAGCAGTTTGGAACGTGAGAGATGGTCCAATTCCTCTCACATTCCAGGCCAAAAGCTTCATTTATCTGGCTGGGACCAATTAGGGCTGGTTTCCTCCATCATATCAGCAAAATCTTTTTCCTCCACAAATTGTTTCTTAGGTGTTGGGGGTTCACAAGCGCCCACTTCCACCTCATCGAACCTCCTCTTTCTTTCCCCGCCAAGTAACAACTCATAGTTCGATCCATATTCATTTAAGCCAACGATAGTACCAATGGGAACTGAGGGGTGTGCCACCACAATCTCGGACACCATACCTTGTGGAGAGGAATGTTGGGAGGGTTCGACACTCATGCCTGCCTCAAAAGCACGCACCACTTGTTGGACATGGCCCTTTCTAGTCGGCTCCCCCATCGGTTTTTTTTTTTTTTTTCAAAATCCTGAACTCCCCCCCCTCTGGACTCGTCTCAGATGAGTCACAGGCAAACGGGTCACCGGAGCTTTGGTGGGCAGCAGCTCGCACCGGCGAAGAGGCTATCGCCGCCACTTTTCTTACCGGGACCTCCACCCATGACCCCTTCCCTACATTTGGAGAATCCGACCCCTTCCTCTCAGGGGCAGAAACGGCTGCCTTCCTCAGCCTAGATTTGTGATTAGCGGCCGATCCTTCTTCCCCTATCCCAGGCTTCCGACCTGCTTTCGTGCGGCGACGAGAGTCACTCATGGAGGGCTGGCCATTCCCCGAAGCCACTGCATCAGCCGCCTCTTTCTATTCCGACGAGACCTCCGCCACCTGTCGACCACCTCCACTCAGGGACGAAAATAGAAGGTCCCCCTCCTCTTCCGATTCATCCTCCAGTAACAGCCTCCGCCGCCGAGAAGCAGAGGGCCGAGGTTCGTCCTCCTGGGTAGGAGCCGAAGGGGCTTCAGAGCGGGAATGGGAGGCCTCATCTTTCCCACGGGCTTTTTGCCATTTCTTTTGGCCGCCCAGCCCATCTTTCCCACGTCCAGCCTGCATTTGCAGCTGCTTGGGTTTTCGCTCCTCCTTTGGGCCAATTGCACCACGGCCCATTCCAATTCTTTCTTTCCCTTTGACCTGTCGTTGAAAGGTTGAGCCCAGGTTCAGTTTCGGGGAACGGGTGATGAAAAACCCTTTTGGGTTCCCTCATAGCAGGCTTCGAGTTCCTCGGCCCATCCTGATCCAAGTCTTGGCCAGGCCCCGTCCAACCCATCTCCTCCTTTTCTGGCGCAGTTCGCCCTTCTTCTTCCACCTTGGGAAATAGCATAGCTTGTTTCCGAGGACCCTAAATATTATTGTTGACCCAAACGGTCTTTGACATCCCATGGAATGGAATGGTAATATCATCGGCATCATATATTCGTGTCCCCAGTTTCTTGGTCATCATATGTGGACCAAATCGCTCCTTGCGGGATGGGGGATCAAAAGCACATTCTCGTTGGAAGTGACCCACTCTCCCGCAGTGGAAGCAAAAAGAAGGGAGATGCTCATACTTCAATCGCACCCAAAAGCGTCTCGTTTCCTCACTAGCCGCCATTAATTGGGATCGCAGTGGACGCGAGAAGTCAACCATCGCTTTGACTTTTATGAAATAGGTCCCTGTATCCTGACAAGAATAGACTCCTGCCTCATGTACTTGGCCAATGGTGGGACCCACAACCTTCATTCCGAATTTTGCAGTGCAGAAATCATCCTTGACGTCCCAAAGTTGCACCCTAAAAGGAGCCACAGCCAATTCCTCATAGGTCTGCCGAGTGACAGACGGGGTCCATGATCGGAGATGGATAATTCGATCATTGACCACCCATGGTGTTCTTTTCAAAATCCAAATTTTGGATTCTTCACTGGGGAGAACAAATTCGAACAGCCCATGTTTTGCTTGTAGCACTTTGATTCTGCCTTTGCATTGCCATGGAGCGTTAACCCCGTCACGTAGCTCAGCCGGAGAGACACGAGCCGTTGTGAAGACCCGCCCAAGGAGCGTGTTAGAGCTACGTACTTTCACGGATTGGACTTCATCAAGAGAAAACTGAACAACTTGATCATCGCTGATGCGCGTAGCCATATTGTCCTGCGTGGAAGCGGAATGATCAGTATCCATCAATAGAGTATCGCCAAGATTAATATCCTAAATCTTTTGGGTACAACATTGAGGGGCGATATATTTCTGGTGAAGGGTCAGAGCATCGGTGGCAGAAAATTCCATTGATGAGGGAAGAGATAACGGGAGAGGGGGGATACCAGATATGGTCGACAAGATCGTGAGACTCGTCCAGCTCGTATTTGCCGCGTCTCGTTCGCTGTGTTCCAGTATCCTGGAGACGAAGAGGGCGGTGTTTAAATAGAGTGGGTCTCCCATGACTAGTAGTTTGGATTCCGGGGGATGAAGGTAGTTTGGATTCGGATGCCCAATCAGCTGGCCATGATCCTCGATCTCGAGCCGACCCTTATCCTCATCCCTAACCGCATCCCTAACTGATTTGTCAATTAATATCTTGCGAAAAAATATTGTTCTCGGTTGTTTGTTGCACCGGCGGAAGTTTCGGGAGATATGCTCCCCTTTGACAGCCGTAAAATCCGGTTCAATAATATCCGAGAATCCCAAACTGTTTGTTCGCCGCCGGGAGGAAGTCGGCCGATCACTAATGTGTCGCCAAGCATTCTTCCACCAATCAGGGGCGAAGAAAGCTACCGGACATTCAATTTGATGGGGTCCCATGGGGACGTCGAGCAGTGTTCTCTCCACCGTTCGACTGGGATCCTGCACGAGCCCACTAGAACTACGCGGCAGTCGCACTCCGGCGACTATCAGGCGTCTCCCATTTTGATTTTTTGTTTTTTGGCTAGGGGTATCCCCTTTTACGGAGGTTGCACCGTCACTCCAGTCCACCGGGGTATCGTCGACAACCGCATCCTCCATTTCTGCTGACGAAGGGAGCCGGATGCACCATCCTGGTTTTTTCCAACACAGTCGTCGCTTCTTTTCAAGGGAGTGGTTTATATCACACTCCAACATAAATTGCTTACGCTTCCTTTTTAGCCCTCTACGCCAGGAATGGGTCTTTTTCCGTCGACGCTCGTAGCCATATCCGGTCCCCGGGACGACGAGTGGAGAGGAACAAGGGTTGTTAATCCCCGGATCCGTCGTTGGATTCACTGGACTCCATTCTGGTTGGTAAGAGTTGGCTTCCCAATCATACTGCTGGTTGCATAGACTGGCCAACAACACCGCCTTCCCCATCGTGAGAAGAGCATGGCCGAGCAGGCTGCAGAAGGAGAGGAGAGATGAGAGAGCATCTCTCCACATTTTTTTGTTTTTCTATTCAAAATTTCACTTTCTATTCAAAATTTTAAAGAAAAGCTGTTATGTTTTAATAGTAGAAGGGTACATTTGTGAAAAAAAAATAGTTTAGGAATACATTTGTCACTTTGTGATAGTAAGAGGTAGAACCGATTGGAGTTTGAAGATCGCTATCGCATGAAACAACAACACCCTTAACAAGGCATTAATTTTCAAATTTTAATTGACACCAAAGCTAAAACGGGGAAGAGAGTTGGCCGAATTTATGATTTAACTAGTAGGGGAAAAAAGAAAAGTAAGAAATGGAAATGGAAATGAAGACGGATCCTGCCCCCAGGGACCAGTTGCCAAAGAATTTCCTCGAAAACAAAGATGGAAAAGACAGAGGGTCGTGGCTGTTCACTTCTTCTTCCTATTCCAATGATCGATAAATCCAAATTGTCACCATCTTTGATACTCCCTCCCCTTCAGTCGTTTCTTCAAATCCTTTTTCCTCTCGTTTTTTCCTTTTTTTCATTTCCCTGCGGCCCCTCCCTCGCCCCCAACCTTTCCTTCTTTTTTGTTGCCATCTCTAAGAACCCTGTAAGCTCTTACCTCCATGTTGAGCTTGTTCCTGATGATGATGAATATGCCACTTACCCTTGGCCCTTGGATGCTCCGTTCTTGATCACCATGAAATGTTAATGACTTGATTGACTGATCATATTCTTGAAACATTCACTACAACAAATTTGGTCTATTATGACAAAACAAATTTGTCATATTCGATACTCATTTTGTCATATTAGCTATAATATGACAAAAGGTGTTGTCACAAAGGTTTGTCATTTTATCGCCGTCAAGATAGGTCAAATGTGACAAAAATTTAAACAAGGTTGTCACATTTGCTTTTAGTATAACTGAGGTTCTGGGTAGTCTATTGTGACAAACAGAGATGTTATGACGACATATTTTGCATTTTGAGAGAATTGTTTGTCATATTACACGATTATATTTTGTCATAATTGTATATTGTGACGACTGCATTTTGTCATAAGTGTAGACAAGGATATTTATTTTCCATCGATTGTGCCCAACTCGCAAATCCAAATTCATAAAAAGGAACTCACAAATCTAGCAAAGCTTCGTTATCACAATTTGTTCTTTATTCACAAACCCAGAAAATCATTCACAATCCTATAAAATTTTCACAAACCTAGAAAAGTTTCGCAAACCCAGAAAAGCTTTGCTAACCCAGCAATTGAAACCCTTCCAAACTAACCAAATCCAGAATTGCTCCTTCTCCTCCTCAAACCCAGAATTGGAACCCCCAGAAAGTAACAAACACAAAAAAAAAAAAAACGCATGCATCCGAATCCTTCTCCCACCGTGGCCGCTAGTCTCGCACCGAACCTTTTACTCGTTGATCTCCAACCGGCCTTAGACTCGTCATTCTCGCCCTTAGACTCGTGAATCTTTGTCTCGGGCACCTTCTCCTCCTACATCCGCAGCCTCACCCTCAGCCCCCACCTCGCGGAAACCCCTTCCTCTGCCGAAGCAAAACCTACAAAAAAAAAAGATTAAACAAGACTGGTCCAATCAATGCTCTCACCGGAACTCTCATCCATCGCGGGCTCTCGATCCGCCAATCACCTCTTGAGCTTGGCGCCATCGTCGCATGTCAATCTCTCTGTCGGTCGCCTCTCGATCTATCCCCCCCTACCTCTTCATCTCTCTGCCATCGTCGCCGGATATTGGCAATCATTGCCCTCTCAATCTCTCTGTCAGCATCGCTGGTTATCGCAAGAGGAGGCAGCTAGCGGCGATCTTTTTGAGAGAGGAAGGAAGAGATGAAAGCTTCGTCTTCTTTGAGTGTAAGGAGTAGGTGAAGGGTCGTTTTTTGGAGAGAACAAAGAAGGGGAGAAAAGAAGGGAAGTTTAAAAGGGGAAGAAAGAGTAAATGGGGTGAGATAAAAGAGGGATGAGGGGCGGACGTTTCAGTTAGAATTTAGGGTTAGGGGATTTTTTTAATGGTGAGAAGGGAGAATTTTCAAATTTTTATGGGGAAAGTTTTGGCGGAAAAGGAAATTTTTGGAGCCATAATTTTTTTTAAAAATGGCCGATTAAATATTGGAGCCATAAATTTTTAGGGGACAGTTAAAATTGGGCGGGACTGAAATTTTTATTGTGTAGTGATGTTTTTTTTTTTGTTTTTTTATGCTGAACACAAGCAAATATGATGAAAATGCCTTTTGTCAAAAACGAAACCACTATATTATGACGAACATGTCTTTTGTCAAAGCCGAAACCACTATATTATGACAAACACGTCCTTTTGACAGCTCCTGGTGGGATTATTTCTATCTATTGTGACAAAATACTTTGTCATTTAAACAATTTAGGAAGACATAATATGACAAAAGCTACTCTCACGATATAATTTGTCACTTTTCTGTATCTTACATCCGATATGGGATGCCTATTGTGACAAATTTAATTATGACACAAAATATTTGTCACATCTCTCACTTTAAATGACGAATTATTCTGACAACAAATTTTTTTTGTCACATTAGACATACCAAATAGGACATATATTATTTTTGTCATATCACCGTACCTATTGTGACAAATAAAAAATGACAAAATAAATTTTTTGTCCTAATAGGTCAAATCTGTTGTAGTGATTCCCTTGAAGTATTGCATTGTGTTCTACATTGAGACTAAATACACTTGGTCGTCTCCTTTTGCTTGTAGAGCAAGCTCTTTGTTGCCTTAGTTTTTATTTTCATCTTATCCTCTGTACATTGGATTGGCAGCTAGGACAACAATGTGCGAATGTTGTAAAAGGAATACGCCAGAAGTTGATGGCGAGCTGCTCCTGGAATTAGGAATCAGTAACAAGAAGGTATTTCTGATGCTTTTCGGTAGTTGATGATGAGCTTGTACAAATGGATATCTACCATTTTGTGCAATTTCATAATATGTTATGTTACCTCTGTTTCTGGAAATGGTTTAGTTTCTCTGATAAGTTTTTCTAGTATGTATGTTCTCTTGAATCATAGTCATCCCAGAGTTGTATATTTTAGTTGTTCAAGACCTCTATTGGTTACTGTAGTTTTGAAATGGTGTCAAACAACTGTTGGTTACTGTAGTTTGAAGAGAAGTCTCCTCCCCCACCATATATGTCTTCCATATTGGGTTTAACAATGTCATATTCTGTTAACGAGTCTTAGAAGTTATCGTAATAGTTTCTTCTACTTTTCCTCCTTCCTGCAGGCAAAGAATGTCCAGGGATTCAAATGCCATGTTCCTGCTCCAAAAGAATCCATCTTCAGTTGCCCTGTATGAATGAGTGATCTGATCGAGCCAACATCAACGAAATGCGGTCATATCTTCTGTAAAGAGTGCTTAAGAAAATCACTAGCATCATCAAAACAACAAATGCCCTACCTGCAGGCAGAAGGTTGGCAGACGCGGCATCTTCAGAGTCTATCTTCCCACCACAAACTCGGGCATTTGCTCTAATGTTAGTATTGTTTGCCTTTAGCTGACCCGGTAAATTCGATAAATTGTAGATTGCTTTTTCCATCTTCAATCTGCAAAACCAGCTATGTTGGTCGAAGTGAAGTTGGTTCGTGAAGATTGTGTTCACTATCTTGACTCATGCGGAGTAAATTATGGAGTTCTGTTGGTGTCGATAGCAGCCTGAACTACTTTTTGTCTGTTCACCCGCAAAGTGCACCATTTTCCATTTCTATACCATGTGCATGACATGAATTATTTGTACGTTGGATATTTAGAATTCAATGCAATTACCGTCACCATTTTTGCTTTTCGCAACTGTTTATTTCCCCAATTACAATGAATTGCAGTATTTTTATATTCATCGGAGTTAGGGTATTTACTGTGAAGATTCTCTGTTTGCATCAGAAGATGACTAAGAAGGGTGCAAGTGTTCTTGGAGCATAATTTTCTTATGTCACATTTATTCAAGTACAAAATTCGAAGGTGGTTCACTATTCTTGACTCAGCCTAGTAGAGTAATTACATCGTTGACAATCGCATGAAAATCAGGTATCAATGAAACTATATAATGTTTTCACGCCACTAGTCTCAACTATGGCCGCAAGTGAGTCAAACAGTTCAACATTCGGTTCCAGAATATCTCGTTCAACACTTTACTCGTTTGTTAATAAGCCAAGTTTGAGCTATGTCTTGTTCAATTTGCAAGACTTGAGAGCCAGTTCAATTTGACGATCTATTGAGCTCAACTCGTGAGCTGGCTCATTTGGAACTCATGATCTAACCCATGGTGTGGATAGCCAGCTAACTCGACCAGCATCTTATGATAAAAATCAATTTATAGCTTATAAATTAACTTATTAATAATTCATGAGCTTGTTAGACGGTATCTCACCCCATTAGAGCATGTGAGCAAATATGTCTCAAGAAGATAAATTATATATTATAAATTTATGGGTGATATAATTTGTAACCCACATACATACAACAACAAATAAAAGGTAAATTGCAAGTTTGGTCACTGAGTTTACTAAAAAGTGCCATATTTAATCACTCAAAATATTTAGTTCTAATGTTGGTCACTCGAATTAGTAAAACGCTCCATGTTTAGTCACTCTTCGTTAGTCTTCGTCAGTCAACACTAATACTGTTAGTCAAGTGCTGACGTGGCTAACAGAATTGATAACTCACACAATTTTAACCCATGACATCATCAAATCCGATCCGACCCGCCACGTCACTCAACCTTCCCCTCAATTTCCCCAACCCATAAACCAACTCTTCACAATCAGTACCCAACCCTCCGCCTCTAGAACCACCGCAACTAGACAATCGTTTACCGCCTACAGAAGTCCATCCTCCCTCAGCCATTCCCATTGCATCTCCTTGCCACAGTGAATCCCCTCCCAGCCAAAATCGAACCCTAAAATCCACCTCTTATGAAATCCAAGAAAATGAAACCCTATATTGAAAATCGCAATTGTCAAGTTCACTCCACAAAACCCGCAATTGTCAAGTTCAATCACTCTACAAAAGACAAGGGCAAATGAATGGAGGAGGAAGGGCAGGGGCCATGGGGATTCGTGCCTTCACTTTTGACCTTTTAATAATTGAGGGTTTTGTTGTGAATATAGAAGCAAAGTTCTCCAATAGATCTGAAGATGGGAACGAATGGGAGGCCAGGTGGGGGCAGAGGCGACTGTTCATAGATGATGGACAATGGAGGAAATGGAAAATCCTGGGAGGAGCGGTGATAAAGCAAACGGGAATGGTTGGAGAATGAAGATATGAAGAGGGATAGCGGATCTGGCTCGATCTGAAAAAGGGGAGATGATGGTCACTAACAATCGTGTTTGGCACCTGAACGAACTTAAGTCGGCCGAATTTGGTGACGGGTTGGAAGGGTTGGTTTATGAGTTGGATTGACGAAACTGAGGTGGCGGGTTGAGAGTGACGTAGTGGATCGGGTTGGGTGATGTAGCGGGTTTAAATTGGGTGAATCAGCATTTCTGTTAGACACATCAGCATTTGACTGACGATGTTAACGTTGATTGACGAAGACTAACGGAAAATGACTAAACATGGACCGTTTTATTAATTCGAGTGACCAACATTAAAATTAAATACTTCGAGAGACTAAACATGACATTTTTTAATAAACTCTATGATCAAACTTTCAATTTATCTAACAAATATATATGTCAAACCGTGTGATCAAAATTTGTTTTAGTGAAGCCACCCAAGAGTCAGTCACAAACTAGTTTTTTATAGACTAGAAAGGAATAGTCGCCTCGCCTGTCAGAATTTCACCCGGCTTTATCTTCCTCCCGTTCCGATAAAAAAACAGAAACAGATTAACGAATGCTAATCGACTTCGGAAAAAGTATCCGATTATCTCTTTATATTATCGATTTCGATTCGACCAAAAGGGAGCCTCTCTCTTCTGATCAGCTCGAAATTGCTCTCCCGCGTTATCTCAAGTCTCAACGTCGATCGCTACTCAAATTTTCTGCGAGCAGAAGCTCGAGGTGTGCAAACTGGAACGAACCCAATTTAGCAGGAGGTATTGATCTGTGTCTCTGATTTGAAGTTCATAGTGGTGGTAGTAATAGAGGTTGAAATTTGCCTTCTTGGTTTATGAACTCCGTAACTGGATCTTTTTGTGGGTTTGAAGGACGAATTCTGGTAATGGATGGCAATAATCAGATGGCTCCTGCGCTTGGGGGAGAAGCTCCTGTGGATGGGGGTGACTGGAGAGCTACACTGCAGGCGGCGTCACGGCAAAGAATCGTGAACAAAATGTGAGTTGGATGGTTTCGTGCTGCTGAGTGATTATTTCTATTCTAAGCTTTGTTTTGTGGGTTTCGTGTGTTTGTTTTTTTATAGTTTTCTGAGACAATAGGATAAACTGAATTGACCAATGAGGGAAACATGGATATAGTTTATTAGAGCTTCTATATGAATGAAAGGAAAAAAACTGAACTGTGTTACCTTCAGAAAGATTTGGGCGCATTGTGCAGATGGGAGGGTTTTCCTTGGGCACAAATATGAATTTGAATGAGGAAATGGATGAAGACTTTGTACCTGGATGTGACAATTCTGTGGCAACAGCTTACGGTTTTCCCGAGGCGAATATTTGTTGAAGAATTTTTGGCGGGGTTTTACCTCTTGATTAGTTGCTTCTTTTGTAACTATGTACTTTCATTCTCGGCGATCACTGATTGTGGCTAACTTATGGTACAGAATGGAGAAAATTATGAGGCATATACCTTATTCTGGCCATGAGGCTGAGGGGCTACAAGAACTGAAGCAAATCGCTGTACGGTTGGAAGAAAATAATTATACTGCTGCAACTAGTCAGGTATCTTGATAATGGCTAGTGATGCTTGTAACACAATTTCATGAAGGTGCTTTTGGAAGAAGGAATTTTTCTGCCTATGGCTGCACCTCGAAGATAAGATTGATGATGCACTAATTTTATGTTTATGTAGTCTGATTATCTGCGCAAGATATCTATCAAGATGCTCACAATGGAGAACAAATCACAGAATTCTAAACCCAATTCGTTGCTGCCTAGCTCAGCAGGCACTGTCAATAAGCTCCCTAATCCAGGAGGTACTACAGAGTTATTGTGCTTTTCTTCTATAGTAGGAGATAACTAATTTTCATGGCCTTTTACTTCTAGTGTATTGTTGTTGTTTTATGATAGAGAGAATGCTAATGTCATCTTCAACTTCTATATCAAATTCTTATCTTAGGGGGAAAATGGGAAATGGTATCAAGAGAGATGTTTCTGTCACTACTTTCTGGTTTATGCTAATTACTGTCGTTGCTGTTTCTCTTATTTTGTTTCTTGTTTATTTAGTTAAACTGAAGCGGTACGGTAAAAGGTTGCCTCTCGAACTTGTAGTGCCCAAAATCTTTAAAGCTCTGGAGTTCGCTCTTCGTGCTATATGCCCCTTTTCTAGTGGGTTGTGTGAAGTACGGATTTTATTGCTCATCTAAACTTGGAATGTCTTGTGATAATTGAACTAGGAAATCTGAATATCCATCTACTGTTCTTTCTAATGATGGAACAGTGAAAACGTCAGCAGATACGATGAACACCAAAACATTTGGTTCTTTAAGATTTTGCTTATATTTCCTGGTTCTTCCCTCTCTAAGACCCCTAGCTCTTATGTTCCAGTTCCACCTGGTTTATCATGGTGATGGATATACCACTTACCCCTGGGTGCTCCGTTCTTGATCACCGTGAAATGCTAATGACTTGATTGACTGACCACATTCTTGAAGTATTGCTCGCATTCTTTACTGAGACTAAGCTTGGCTGTCTCCCTTTGCTTTTAGAACAAGCTCTTTGTTGCCTTTTGTTTTTTATTTTCATCTCATCCTGTGTGCATTAAATTGGCAGCTGGGACGATGATGTGTGTACATTGTAAAAGGAAAATGCCAGAAGTGGACAGCGAGCCATTCCTGGAATTAGGAACCAGTAACAATAAGGTAAGTTTGATGGTTTACACTTTCAGTAGTTGATGATGAGCTTGTGCAATGTGGATATCTACCATCTTGTGCAATTTTATAATATGTTCATGTCACCTCTGTTTCAGGAATGGGTTAGTTTGTCTCTCGTACGTTTTCCCACTATGTATGTATGTACTCTTGTAATCCTAGTCATCACAGAGTTCTAGATGTTAGCTGTCCTAGAGTTCTATGTATCTTAGCTGAAAAGTTTGGAATAGTGTCAAACAACTGTTGGTTATGTAATTTTGAAGAGAAGTTGTAACTTGTAACCCCCTACATATGTCCTCCGTATTGGGTTATGTAGTTCGTCTCTGGTAAGCTTTCCAGTATGTATATACTTTTGTAATCCTAGTCATCCAAGCGTTCTTGATGTTAACGGTCCTAGAGTTACATGTATCTTGGCTGTAAAGTTTGGAATGGTGTCAAACAACTGTTGGTTATGTAGTTTTGAAAGGCAAGTTATAACTTATAGCCCCCCACGTATGTTCACCATATTGGATTTTGGCAATGTTATATTTTGCCAGTTGAGTCTTAGAACTTAATCGTTAAGTGTTTCTTCTAGTTTTGTGTTTTGCTCATTCCAGTGATTACTGTTGAACATCCTTTTGCAGGCAAAGAATGTCCAGGAAGCCATATGCCCAGTCCCAACACAAAAAGAATCCATCTTCAGTTGCCCTATATGCATGAATGATCTGGTCGAGCCAACATCCACAAAATGTGGCCATATCTTTTGTAAAGAGTGCTTAAGAAAATCACTAGCATCCTTCGACAACAAGTGCCCTACCTGCACGCAGAAGGTTGGTAAACGTGGCTTCTTCAGAGTCTACCTTCCCACCACAAACTGAATGAAAGGGTGAATGCTTGGAAGCTAGCTCTTAGGATAGTAGTATACAGGCTGCTTTCTTCAATCTGCAAAACCAGCTATTAAGCTGCAACTGCAATTTGGCTCACGAAGTTGAATAATCAAAGGTGGTTCACAATTCTTGACGACTCCTACCGTGTAAATCATGAGCTCTGTTGGGTATCTGACAGCAGCTCTTTCTTTGTAAGTTGTCAATGATACAGATAGACTCGTAATGACGATTCAGGATTTACTGCAATTATACAGTTACCATTTTTGTTTCCTGCAGCTGTTTCTTTCCCTAATATGATGACTTGCGGTATTTTTTCCCCCATCAAGGTTACGTATACTGTAAATATTCTCTATTTGCATCAAAGGATGATCAAAAGCTTTAGTGGTGGAAGTGTTGCAAGTGCATAATTTCGAATGCCACATTCTCTGTAACTAGTCAGTTTTAATAGGTCTTCGATCTCTGATGTAGTGACTAGTGAGTGACCAGACGTTTAGAGAAATCTCCGACTCATTTGAAGTTTGGACGTTGAGCTTTTACCGTCGTGAGGCTAATATCGTTTTATTGCTTACAGGATGGTAGCCTTAAGGTGGACAGTAATTTTGAACGATATGTTAAAATCCGATCATAAATTTGCGACAAACATATATCAACGCAACGAGCATAAATGTACAGACAGTTTGAGCATGCAGGTGATATAACCAGCAGCACCATAATCAAACATGGCGACAAAATAGCTTGAAATATGTTAACAATTAACCTATTCAGCCAGCCCCCATAAATCAGTACTCTTTACCACTACCAACTTGACATGAACCAAAAACTGAACTAGGTAAATAAACACATCATTGCTGCAATACCCACAAACAGCGGCTCGGTAAATTTTGCTTAGTCTCATACTAAACTGTGTACTCTAACGTCATCACGCCGTCTCCCAGCTTAACCTGCTGCATGCAAACCAGACAGGCCACCATTGCATCATTATCAGCTGAATGATCCTACTAAAGAGTTCCGAATTTGACCGACGCTACAAGTCACATCTTCTACAATTAAATCCACTGTAGAAAAGTGAAAACCAAGTGGACCTGTTACACTTTGCGACATATGCATGATACTGATACACAGAAAGTTTGAGTGTGCAGGCAACTAATAACCAGCGGCAGAAAGCATAATCAACACAATATGACTCGAACTACTCAACAGAAATCAACCATTAGTCACCTATTCGCTCTGCCCCAAACAACTAGTATCAATAATACTAGGGGTGTACAAAGTAGGTGCTGCAGAGTCTGCTAACTATGGTTCAGAGCTGAGAGACACGATACTGAAACTAGTGCAGAACAACTTAGAACTCCAGGTTTTGGCTTCCTCTCCTAGGTCTCCAGTTAATACAAATATTGGCCATACTAGAAGAAAAAGGGTTGGAAGAACCAAAAGAATGGTGACAAGTTATCCTACAGATCACCGACGACGAATTACTGCATCATTGGGTGCAGAAAATAGCAGGTGCCTTTAGAAACTGATATTCTATATGCACGAAATGCGAAAGTTAAGCTGGCCACTCATTGTATGTCTAGGCCTCTAGGGGATAAGAACCAAATAAGCAAGCCAGCTCTCCACACACTTGATTGCAAAACTCATAAGGAAGCACTGAATGAAAAAGATCCCTCATTTTCAATTATGAACTTTTCATTCTCTACTTTGTTCTACCATCATGATCATTCATTTCTGCAGCAAACTCTATCAGAAGAAAGATAACCCTACAACAAATTCATACCAAACTCAAAAGATAATTCTCATCTTGATCGCTTACCACTTACCCCTTTCAAATCCAATCTTGCTGCTGTAGCTTCAATGGCAGGTAAACCTCAGACAAATACTGAAACCCGAAAGAGCTCAACGCCTGAATCTCAGCCTTCTGCTTAGTCTTCACCATCAAAGTCAGCTCCTCCACCCACGCTGGATTTTTCTTAACGAAATCCTCCTCCAACAAGTCCTTCCCTGTCTTAATATCCTGCTCCGTCATCGGCAGCCGACATTGCTCCGGTATCTTATACTTATCAAGATCACTAGGCCGAACCCCTAGCCACTTAATATCAGGTGTAGTCAAATTTGCACTATCATACGACATATTCTTGGATCCACATCCGTAAACGGAAAGAATCTTCAGTCCGTAAGGATCGCTATCCACCAGCGCGAGAACAGGAAGCTTGAGCTCCATTTTCATCTTCCTAAGAAACAGCCTGGTCGCCACATCCGGCTGTCCCTTCGCCGTCACAATAATGCAAGGGAACCGATTGTAGAATCGGTCCTCTGCCAATCTCATGTAAGCAGCGTCTTTCTCCACCAACAGTATGAACAGCGCGTCGCTCTGCATATCCCCCACCCTGTCAATGTTGGGAGGGATGGCTTTCCCGCCGATCCCCATTTTCGTGCAATCGATCATGTCGCCGTCGTCGCTGAAAACCAATCTCCCGACGACCACGCCTTTCTCGGCGGCGACGACGTTGAGAGAAGATCTGGTGCAGCCGAGCACGCAGGAGACGTCGTCGAGCACAGCGTCGGATTGGGTCTGGTCCTGGAAGAGCTTGACGTCGGTGTAGAAGAGATCACGCTTGGTGACGTGGATGTTCTTGAGGCAGAGCTGGTGGATCAGCGACAGGATTTTGGTGGTGATGGTGGCCTTGCGGACGGAGGAATTGTTGGCGAAGGGGCGGAGGGTGTTTTTGTCTTTGAGCACGATTCGGTCGAGCTCAGGGACGTAGAGCTGGTTGGTGGCGGCGCGTGAGGGGACGTTGAACGAGAAGCCGTTCCCGGCGATGATGGAGCGGGCGAGGGAGAGGATTACGCCCTCGATGTTGGACTGGACGGAGTCGGGGGACTGGTCGGTGACCTCGCGGCAGGCGGCGGTGAGGGCGAGCTCGGAGAGGGATTTGGGCTTGGAGGAGGAGCTGGAGGCGGCGGCGATTGTGGATTTCTGGAGAGATTTTAGGGTTTCGAGGATGGCGGAGTCCGGTTTGAGATTCTTCTTGAAGGGAAGCTCCGGAGCGCCGTCGTCCGCGCGGCGGCGCTTCTTGGACTTGCCGGTGGTGTCTGCCATTGAGCGGGGGGCTGCGGGGAAGTGGAGGCGGGAAACTGGAGAGAAGAAATGCTGAATTTGGGATGGTTTCCGGCTTTCGCGGTAGAATATTTGGAGTAAGGAATTAAATTCTCAGGCGGCACTCCAGTTCAGAGGGAGGGGACGCAAGGACGGATGGCTATTTCCATCTTACCCGTTTTACTCGATTTGTTTTATCTCTTTTGGAGTGGATTCGATCCGCTATATAGGCCGGGCGGGACGGACATGGGTATCTCTCATCGATCCGACTTGTCCTGATCCGTCTCATTCTCGACCCGTTCTTGTCTAAATTACAAGTCAAATTATTTAGGATTTTCCTTTAATTACCTCATATTTTAGCTATAATAAAGTTGTAAGTTTGTGGACAATTTCTCCAATAATTTAATTATATTTTATCATATTATGGTTTATTTATTGATATTTTAATGAAAATGAATATTTCTAATGTTTTTCATATAAATTACATACATATTGGGTCGACCTGCCCTGACCCGCGCCTCATGACAAATTACCCGATCTGCCACGGGACGGGTACAGGTACCAGGATACCCACCCCGAACCTGTTCCATTACCATTCCTAGGGGTAGGTCACAAAGTGATGTCAGGTGGCATAACAAGACTCGAGAGTCGAAACGAGAGAATCTGGACTTGGGCTTGGGCCTAGGCTTGAATAACGGGCCCACTTCTGCTCTCGCTACTCTACTAAGTAAGGTTAACAAAAAGACCTGTAAACCGACATATTCATTCACACCAATAAAATCCATATGTGCAATGTTTAAGATTGGATGAGAGTTTTCTTTTGTGCAACTCGTCTATTTTGGGTTGAGTGTGACTTTTGGATTACAAAACATGTAAAACCCGACTCAACCCGCGTTCCAACTATTGACATAAGTATTCGTATCTTAAACATATTTGTGTCATATATATAAACATAATTTTGAGAAATGTAAGGTATTTTTCATATTTTTTCTATCGTAGCTTCTCTAACCTAATGTATTCTTCAACTTAAATTCATATGTATATTTAATATAGGCTATGATTCACTTAATCTTTTCTTTTTTGTACAATTTTAAGAGAATAACAAATTATGCATGTGCTCGCTTATAACCTCTTTAACTTATTTTGGTAAATGTTTGTGAAAAAACTAAAAGCAAATTGCATTTCATTAAATCCAAACAATATCTATGCATTTTGATACCTTTCACCTCAATTTATTTGTTTGAAATTTTAATTAGTTAAATAATATTTTTCGGCAATTAGTCTTTCCATTAAGCTCACTTGATCAACTTGATCAAGTTGCAAAAAACTCAGATATACATCTTATTGTGATACTAGCTGAAAACTTAAAAATGCAACTGTAAGTTCATACCAATACTACTCTGCTGCAAAGCTGCATGAAATCGGTCATCTCCAATTGCCAACAACCTCCTCCCACAATTGCGAGAAGATCACCTCCCAAGGTTTCGCCTGTTCTCCAAACACACGTTCACAACGTTCTTTCCACACCAAGCTGCAAATCCAGCACTAGACAACACTCATAACAGGTCCTTCTTTACCCTTTTTCGCCAGTACACACAGCTCCTGCAACAGTCAATCCCAGTCTGTGTTCCAGCTGCGAAATAGGTATCCAAACACTTCTGCAAACAGACTACCAACATACTCACATGCACAAAACAAATTATATCTACTTTCCTCTTCCCTAGCACTCATCACACACACTGCATCAGAGATTTTTCCCCAAGCTTTAAGTTTATCCCTTGTTACAATTCGGTTCAGAATGATCAGCCACATTATGACCCTAATTCTTGGAAGAAGGAATCTGCCTCAAATAAGTTGCCACCAAGGAACTGAGGGTTTATGAACTCTAATCGACTCCCAGACCTGTTGCACAGAAAATTTCCTCATAATCTTTCCTTCCCAAAGGACATTCTGCTCGTCATCAATCGTCATTCTGTATGGGAACCATCCTCTTAGCTTTAGCAACTGTCTCCAAAGCCAAGAGCCTGTCATAGTAGGCTTCAGCTCCCAAATAGAGTGAACTTTGAGCCTGTAGCATCTTATCCACGCCACCCAAAAGCTCCCCCTACAGAAACAATAGCCACAAGAGACAAGCTATACAAGCCACGTTCCAAGTACGAAGGTCCCTTAAACCCAAACCTCCTTCTTTCTGTGGCACAACTAATAGATCCCAGGCAACTTTTGCTTTCCCTGTGCCTTCTCCAAACCATAAGAAGTATGAGCATATTTTTTGAATGCATTCAATGACTTTCTTAGGCAGAACAAATATGGTCATCCAATACTGGCAGAGAGAGTACAAGACAGAGGAAACAAGTTGGAGTCGTCCTGCATATGACAATTTACCAGCTCTCAAACCTCTTATCCGACTAGTCAATTGATCTACCAAGACTCCACATTCTCTGCTAGTGAACTTGCTAGACACCAAAGGCAGCCCCAAATATCTAACAGGCAAGTGACCCTCCTTAAAACCAATAAGAGCCAGTACATTCTCTTTTTAGTGGATGGCTTGGCCACCAAAAAAGACCTCACACTTATTTGGATTGCACTTCAACCCAAACATCCAATAAAATCATCAAGCAAATTCTTTACAGTGGCTAATGCTCGTGCTGACCCCTCAATGAAGATGAGTAAATCATCTGCAAAACAAAGATGCGTTAGATTTCACTCCTTACACTGAGGGTGATAGGGGAGATTAGACTTCTAAGCAGCATCAACAAGCAATCCAGAGAGTGGCTCTAATGCAATTGTAAACAGGTAGGGGGATAAAGGATCCCCCTCCATGACTCCTTTCTTTGCCTCAAAATGACCAAATAGAGTCCCAAACAAACTCACACTAAAGAATGCAGTATTGAGACAAGCTCAAATCCAGTTCATATAAACCTCAGGGAATCCCATAGCTTGCATGGCCATAAACAGATACTTCTAATCAACACAGTCAAAAGCTTTTTGCAAATATATCTTGACCGCACTTCTAGAGGCAATGTGTTTAGTAGAATAGTTTTGAACCATTTCTTGATCCATTAAAATGTTATCAAGTATACTTCTGCCTTTGATGAATGCAGATTGATTCTGACGTATGACACTGGGAAGAACCTACCGAATTATGTTGGCTAGGACTTTGGATGCTATCTTGTAAAAAATGTTTATACAAGCAATAGGTCTAAACGCAGTCAACCTATCAGCATTCGAAGTCTTAGGTGCTAAAGTCAAGGAAGCAGTGTTCATACCTCTAGGCAATGATTTGGAAGATAAGAACTCACTAATACCAGCAGATACATCCATGCCAATTATCTCCCAACACTTTTGATAGAAATTTACTGACCAACCATCAAGACCAGATGCCTTTGCTGCGTCCATAGAAAAAAGTGCAGCTTTAATCTCCTCATCAGTTACTGGCAGACATAGCAATCTTTTTTTCCACATCATTCAGCTGCTTTCTCACATAAGTTGCTACATGATCATACTGTGGCTTGATTTATGTGTTTGCTGTACCATACAAAAAGTTTATAAAAGTCAACTGACTCCCCTGCAATCTGCTCAGGTTTAGTTATTGTTTGCCCAGTATCCAATACAAGATGCCTTATCTGCTTCCTGGCTTTTCTGATCTTAACAGACCTGTGAAAAAATGCTGAATTGGAATCACCCTTACACAACCACTGAATCCTTGACTTCTGGTGGTAGAAACTCTCCTCAGCCTGGTGCAAATGGTGATAACGTGCAGTTGCCAACCTTTCTTCCTCGTAACTTGCCGCAGAGGGGTTCTCAAGAGCTGATAATTGTTTCTTTTTCATATCCTGCTCAGCCTCTCGCACTCTTCTAGAGATATATGAAAATTATGCTTTATTAAACTCTTTGAGTGCCTTCTTGAGTTTAATTAATTTCCTTTTATATCGCTGAAGTGGAGATCCCTCTACATGTTCCCCCCAACATTCGCGCAAAATAGTCCAAAACCCATCGAGGGAGAGCCACATATCAAAGAATCTGAAAGGCTTGGGGAATGATTTCCTCTGAACCTTAGAATTCAATAGCATACCACAGTGATCCGAAAAGAAAGGTGCTAAAAACTCAATAGTGGGATCTGACAGGCGATCAAACCAATAATCGTTGCCTAAAAGTCTATCAAGTTTTCTGGCACTTGGGTTACCTTGTTGATTATTCGACCAAGTAAAGAAAGGGCCAGAGGCCTGATGATCCACTAACTCCATAGCCTCCACCCAACTTCTAAAATCCATCATGTTGCTGGTAACAAAAATCTCGTTTGAAACTTCTATGAGATTAAGGACTGCATTAAAGTCCCCTCCTACAGCCCAAGGAAACCCCTGCACACACCACCTCCTCAATGATTATACGTCAATAGCCTCTCATTCTCCTCATTTGATGCATATACTGTAGTTAGAAAGAACTGTTCAGTGCTGGAGACAAAAACTAAAGCATGAATGAAGCAAGCGCTTCTTGCAAGTACTCGCAATTGGATACCCGATTTCCATGTTAACCAAATCCTGCCAAGCCTATTATATGTATAGTCATCTGCAAAAGTAAAATCAATAAACTTCTCCTGGATCTTTACAGCATTCTTCTCTTGAATCCTTGTTTCCAAAATTGTCAGGACTACTACTCCATACTTCCGCATGCACTCGAAAACAAAGTCGTGTTTTGAGGGGTTGTTAAAACCCCTCGCACATTCCATATAAGGACTGTCATTTCTTTAGAATGGGCACCCAGAGTACCCCTTTCTGACTTCTTAAACCCTCACGAACTGGTTTTACGGTGGTTTCTGTAGTTGTATCTCAGAATCCCGTGCACAACTTATATAATATTTTTGTGGTGCAGAATAATTGAATTTTTGTGTTGGATTGGATTTTTACTTAAAAGTATCGCCCATCCAACCCAACTCAATTATAAATAAACCATAGGGTTCCAAAAAAATTGGATGAGTTTGGATTTGGTAATTTCAAAATCATAAAACAATATTGGTCGCGTGATTAAAATTACTCAACCCGGACAACCCGACCCATGTACGCTCCTACTAATATCTTGAAATTTAAAATGAAGCTTCATCTTTTTGTCATTGAAAAATGCAATGGCAAGCTTGTGGTTACAAGATTGATGTGAGGCGAAGTATTCTTCTCGGGGAGATCTTTATAATGTACTAGTGATCCATTGGATCCAATAATTTACATGAATGTTTACATATATTAGATTAATTAAAGATTAAAGATTATCCACTCCTAAAACTAATTAACGCAATGGCTTTCGAGTAGTGTACATAATGGATTTTGTAATTTCATATGCTTTCACCAAAATTTATTTATTATCCACTAATGATGAAAGTTTATAAAGACTTGTTAATTTCAATAATCGTAAAAAAAGAAGAAAATTACGACTAAACCAAATAAGATTGAATGTGGTTTTGACTTCTCTCATATTCCTATGTTTTCTTCATTTTCTTATGGGACGATAGGTAGTATCATCGACAGTACTCGAACTAACTACGATGAGGCGTCCCACCATAAGTTTATTGGTATCCGCAACATGAATCTGTTACATTAGTTACACAATTTGACGAAATTTCATATCATAAACGGATAAAAGACTAAAAACTAAAAATGCATTACACACGAGGAGGCATTCATTAAAGCCACAGTACAAATGTACATAAGATCATTATGTTACACACATCTGTATATTTGACCGGTGATCATGAACCCTTATAACATTACTATTATTATTATTATTATTATTATTATTATTATTATTATTATTATTATTATTATTATTATTATTATTATTATTATTATTAGGGGCTGGATAAAGATCGACGTTTAAACAATTATGATTATCACTTCGTAATGTGACGGTGCGATGGTAGAACAA